ACGTCACGGTGCGACGCATCGCCATTGCCTTTGCCAATCCATGAAGATGAGCGGAGTGATGCTGTTGTGATACAAGTATAAATGATATACTTCTGATTTGTCCCAGAGCTGAATCACCCGAGAAAGACTGATTCCTATTGATTCGGAGTTAGGGGTGTTTCAAAAGATTTAAATCAAGACTGATGCACCAAAATTTAATGTAAATCACGAGTCATTTCTGATGCCCAATCGCACGCAGTGCAAGTATGCCAACGGTTATGATCTCGGTTGCTTACAACGCAAGAAGTTCTGAACTGCGCTGTAAAGCTACGGTGAACTCTATGCAGCCTAATAAAATTAAAAAGATGAGTGTTGTGGATGAAAAGCTGGAATAACCTTATAAGGTCGCTGACCTGTGGCAGGCTAAAGCCAGGCCATGTCTGCAAGTAAAGGCAACTCCAAGGAAGTTTACAACAACGGGGTGTTGAACGAAACCACACAGCTTTGAAATGGTTTTTAAACAAAAGACAATTACAGTTCGGATTAAAACTAGTTTCAGTGACCCTAGGTCAGGTAGAAAGTTTCTGCGGATTTCAAATCAAGGCTAAAACTAAGTTGTTTTTGCTGGAAAAGTCACTCCATGGTTAGTTTTAAATCGCATATTTCTAATTCCTACATCACAAGGCCTTCAACATATTTCGTAGTAAGACTTTAGAAACGTTAGGGGAGGTCATTGGCCTAAAATGACCCGATCAGTATTTTTGGTTGAGGACCATACCACCTAGAGTAGTTCTTGACGCTGAATATGAATTCAGATATCACTATAATCTCTGAGATTTTGGGTCGTTTTGACCTAATGGTCAAGTAAGAATGCTGATCTCATAACAACACGATTGATCTTTTGCTTAGAAACGGCATTTATGTAAAAACTAATTGCTTGATGATGCCTTAGGACACTACGGGCAACAATCTAGGGTTTGACTTTGCTCGACTCGTTTATTAGAAGGTCACGACCTAGAGACCTAAATATTTGACACAAATGAACTCACATACAAACCTATCTACCTTGTGAATTTAGTATGCTCGATCAACTTTTCAAATCTCAAAGAGTTAAATTAAGCGCCACCTTCGTGTGTCGTATTCAACCGGCCACCCAGTGACTGTAAGTCAACATCTATTGAACGGCACTTCCCATAAGTTTCACTCTATTCCCGATGGTGCGGATTCATAAGTCAACATCTATTGAATGGCACTTCCCATAAGTTTCACTTTATTCCCGATGGTACGGATTCACGCTTGAATGTCACTGACCTCTTAAACACTAAACCGAAAGGTTGCAACCGGCTTCGAGCAAAGTTTGTTGGCAGCACAACCGCTCGGAGACCTACTCTTCGTTCTGGCCCAAAGGGTTCGCGCTTAAAGAAAAATGTTACAAAAAATAGCGAAGAGGGAAATTAAGAAATAATTATGATAAAACTAATTACAGTAAGCAACTGAAACGATATACATTTTTAAAAGATTGCACCGAGCTTTACTTAGTTCAGTGCATAATCACGGCCACCGCGCTGTTCTGAGCTCTGCCGCAATCATGCATCTCGGGGTCAATAAGCTTTTAGCACACTAACGACCGAACTTCAATGTTGTTTGCTCCTGGACATGATGAAAAGGCAAAGTTTGATGACCTTAGCAGTGATAAATGGTTGCGACATACCAGAAGCTTTCAAGGTATGTAGCTTTTTTAAAACAGCGGAAGCTTTGTCTTTTCTGTGCCAATCATCACCTGGCACCAAATTCACGGGGTGGGTTGATCTATATTGTGAACTCACTTATGTCAGAATTCGAGGTTCCTAGGTCATGACCTTCGCGTGAAGTAGGGTCAAGTGAAGTCAAACTCAGGATTGGTGTCGCAAAGTGCTACCAGACCTTCTTAAAACGCCTAGAACCCAAATATCTATTCTAATCAAAATATTATTTATGTTTATTTAAGATCAGTGACCATTGACATTTAGAAGGTTATGATGACCGAAAGCCTACCTCACTACCTCCTCAAAGTCCTGCTTTGTTATCTTGCAACAACCATATGCACGGCGAAGCTGCCTCAAACATCTCATTTCTCAATGCTGTTCTAAATTTAAATGTTAAGCACCATGGCAATGCAGGGCCTGTTTACTCGGCATGCCCCATAAAGCATGTGATAACCTTTTATTTGCTTATCATTCACATTGTTCCACTCTTCGCTCTCGCTACCCCGGGTTCCTGTTCCGCGAAATGACTTCAGTAGCCGATACGCTCACAAACCCCCTCCCTACTCCTGTTCCTCAGTCATAATCCGCCCGCGTCAGCTGGAATAGCCATTCAATCATTACAACTTACACATTATGACGCTCTTTCTCTATACGTGATGATGAATGGCTAATGCATTACAGCAATCTTCACTAATGCATGTTCTCCGTTCAAGCAGCTTAGTTGGTGAAGCGTTGGTCACATGGGCCAATATGTCACAAACAATTAGGCTCGAACTATGAAAATTCTAGGTTATGCTCTATCAGGAGTAATCAATTTCCCAAACACCAGGGCTGGAAGCAAGTGCGGACTTGATACATATTGTCCACATCATTGGAGTGCTTCGCATCATGTGTCTTTGACTGCATGGCCTTGAAAAGTTCCTCATGCCCCTTAACAACCCCAAAGTGGTGCGGCAAAAAAGTGTGGGAATTGGGGTTTTTGCTGTAAAAGTTGCATATGTTCCTACACTCCCCATAATACACTCCCTTGATCCGCACCGGAGATTATGCGCACCCGCTAGTGCACCGCATGTTGTGCTGAAGTTGTCTTGTGCGCAGCTCCACTTCGAGGGAGGTGTTAGGTATGTGGCGAGATGTGTGAAGATCGGGCTAGCGGCTGTGGAGGGGTGTTGAGAGTGGGCAGCGCCCTCCGGCCACCGAGGCTATTTAGTTACCGTAAGTGTTCCACATTCGTGTGCGGTTTTCAACTGAAATAGCCATCTTGAAGATCGTTCGGTGCAGTTCGCAGCCTTGTCCCTCTGAAGACCTAGGGCCTTCCAGCTTCTGTCACTGGCCATGCGGCGACCAAGGCCAATAAGAATATAATGATCGAGTTATTTATACCTGGTTTTTCGTGAGCACGATTTTCAGATATAACGACCGGCAACCGGCTTCCAATCCATGTTGTGCAAGATACAATGACGCAATAAAGCAATGACACATTAAGGAACATATTTCCTCGACACACAAATTTTGCTGTCTAGAGCAGTCTTTTTTCTTTAAAGTATTCCAAAAAACATAAGTGAGTTATAAACATACCTGATGCCTCCTTCAATATCTTCAAATGACGAACATTTTGTTTAACCTCGCGTGTGTAATTGTGTGTGTTGTGTGTGAATGTCGTTTCATGTAACGTCCAGCTAGGTCGAGCTGTACCCTTGGGGACCAAAGTTGGCTTTGTGAGTATCATAGATTTAAACCTTGATGGTGCGTTCAATTTAGCGAAAAGCCAAGGTTTGAGCTCATTATTATATAAGGAGTAATATCCACAAGTTTCATAGTATGTGTTTATGTATTCAAAAGAGCATGAAAAAATCCCGACAGGCTTTAACCGTTATGGCTCCCTCAGTGACTGTTCGCACTTCATTTCATTTCACAAGCTAGTAAAATTCTGATCCACGTGTCTTTTGATCTTTAAGACAATCTGATTCAAAAAGAGTTCCGCCCCTGAAAAGCGTTTACCTAAGCCACAAAAGCAGCACCAGTAGGTTGACATGACATTTGCGTAGTACACACCAGACAAATGACCTCGAAAAGGAATGTAGCATAAATAGTGGGCACTAGGGTGGCACTAGCTGTCGCGATGAAACACGTCTGTTAAGGTTTGGTTTATGACAAACGGCCATCGATTCGTCAATCTTAAGCGCAGCCGCACCTTTGCAGGCACGCACCGTTTTGAGAGCCTGCCTTTCGCGAGACGGAAGATGTGGAATTTTTCAGAAATGGAGATATCCCATGGATTGAATCTGACATCAAAGCTAATGTGTCCCAGGACCCCGCCATCCACAGATGGGGAGGGAAGGGGGGAACTCGCCCTTGGCTACACCACTGCCGAACAATGTACTTCTTTGGTAATTGTGGCACGGGAGGATGGGTTTGAACATGGCAGCATTTTGTCGTCAGTGTGTCAGTCTTTTAATGCATTCCTTAAAATTTGATCCCCTCCAAAGATTTCCTCAAAGAAATAGCCCCGGACCATTACGTCTATGAATCTCGTACAATGTGAAGTAGGTCAAATTAGGCATTCAATAGATTCAAAATCCTGTGAAAAAGCAGATTCTTGAAACACTGGAAACACCAGTCTCCACATGTTGGGCTGTACGGTATCTTAGGCTCATTTTAGTATTACCTTGATTTTAGGGAGACAATTAGTCAGATAGACTCTAAAGGGCCGCACTGCACGGTTGCTTCGGGCGCAGCCATGATATAATGCATCTGACAAACACTGAAAATGTGAAACTCATCAAGGAAAGGTTCGGGGCTCGAGTCCATGATGAGGTTCACATTTTCAGAGTTTGTCAGGCAAACATCATCATCTACCTTCAAAGCGGCCGCACAATATGGTCACTCACGGCCGGAGAATGCATAATATATTTGGAAATATTATTTGGGGCTCCGTGGCTCTTCAGTGAAGTACTACGACTCAGGAGTGTAGTGTGTTGATAGAACTTGATTGCTGTCCAAAAATGGTTGCATAAAACATCCAAGGATTTTTCTGAAGCCTCATCACGCAGGGCCCGTTGCACAGTGCTGCTCGCAAAATTGCCTCCGGCCTCAACCAGTTACGACCACCAGCGACAACTGGCGATCTAAACGGGCCTATCTGCCGGCCTGCCCGTCGGCCGAAGACGAAGCGTCCGGCCCGACATGGTCTGACCGTGAACAGCGTCTGTGTGTCTGCCAGATGCGCCAGCTGACCTGACCTAACCTGACCTGACCTCACCCGGCCGTTTGCAGGGTGCCTGTGCGCTGGTCTGTGCGCCGGCTGGGCGGACGCGGACACATTCAGCGCCCAGCTGCGGATGATGTGGTACAGCCTGATGGTGGTCTACATGACGTACGCGCTGATGCCGCTGCCGCTGCGGCTCTGCGTGCTGCTCGGCTCGCTGACAGCCGCCATCCACGTCAGCCTGCTGCTCGTGCTCGCCTCGGTATGCCCCCCCCCCCCCTCCCGATCGCTCGCACACGGCTCGCTGACGGCCGCAATCCACGTCAGCCTGCTACTCGTGCTCGCCTCGGTATGCCCCCCCCCCCGATCGTTCGCACACGGCTCGATGACCGCTGTCATCCACGTCAGCCTGCTGCTGTGCTCGCCTCGGTAGCCCCCTCCCCCATCCCATCCCCCTCGCACACGGTCCCCGGTCACAAGTCAAATGAAAAAGTCGAACACAAAAGTAAAAAGGGGTAACAGTCGAGTCTGAGAGAGCAGAATTTCAAGTGAAGAGGGATGGAGGTTTAAGTCGAATGCAACAAAATCGAGGACAAATAGTTGGAAGGAGTAAATAGCGACGGGGGGTAACAGTCGACGTTGATGTAGATCACAGAAACTAAAAAAGTGGCCAAAATGATTTAAGAAAGAAAAGTTACCAGGATTTGAGGCCCGACATCGAATGAGTTGCCTTGCTTCGCATTGCTAGTCTCTGTAATCAGGCCCCACTCTCACCCGACAAACTCTCTCAGGTCGAGATGATGTGGTCTATTTGACACGTACCAGAAGCTCTCCGGTCCATACTAATGTTTTGTCACCTCCCCCCGCCCCCTTCCTCCGCCCCGACTGGACCGACCGCACTAGCCACCGCCATCTCCGCCAGAACCCGTACTGGTAGGCCTGGAACGAGGATATGTCTTCGGCCCGGTCTGTTCCGACGCACGCCTGTCCTCTCTCCTCAGGAGCTGTGGCCGGCCTGGAGCGATGCCATTTCCTTTACCCGGTCTGTTCTGACGCCTGTCCTCTCTCCTCAGGAGCTGTGGCCGGCCTGGAGTGTGGTCGCCTCGCTGCTGCTGTTCGCCGGGATGAACGTGGCCGGCATGTACACCCGCTTCCTGACCGACCGCAGCCAGCGGGGAGCATACCTAGAGACGCGACGAGCCATCGCCACTGCCCTGCATGCTCAGCAGGAGAACGACAAGCAGGAGAAGCTGCTACTCTCCAGTGAGGAGCGGCCGTGAGGCTCCCTTCTCCGCAGCCCGCTCTGTCCGACGCCTCGCCCCAGCCAGGCGGATTGCGGAGATTTCATAGCTGATTATGGAATCCCCGCGGCGCAGTGCCGCTCCTTTTTTGTTCGTTTCATTTAGCATGCGTTGCTGGTGACGAAGACGCTATTTTTGTTTCTTTTTTGCGTCAGTCTTTCGTGTTCAGATCCCTTTGTTTAGTCAGCTGTTTTATCTTAATATATGGCTCATATAATATAATATATGTCATATGTCATAATGCCATGAAAATGTCAAATGTCATAATGTCAATAATCATGTCATAATGTTAATAACAACATGTCATAAATGGCTCGGCCACTGGCAGGATATAGTAAAACTGAAACTCAATTCTTGCCTGAGTACCCGGTTGTTTTCATCGGGCATCGCTAAATGTTCGTTACTTGGCCTCCTCAGCCACCCCCTCCCCTCCCCCAAATGCAGCTAATTTCTGGACGAGGCTTACGAGCCATGTTGCAACCCGACTGAGATCAATCCAGACCACGCAGTGCCATCGAAAGGCCTCCGCAACCTGGTCGGTGTTTGGCAGTCCAACGCGTCTCGCTGACGTCGCAAAACGTCCTGCTGATGCCACAAAACGTCCCGCTGACGTTGCAAAGGTCCTGCTGACGTCACAAAACGTTCCGCTGACGTCGCAAAACGTTCCCCTGACGGCCCAAAACGTCCTGCTGACATCGCAAAACATCCTGCTGACGTCGCTAACGTGCCGCCACAAAACGTCAAGCCGACAGCCGGTGTGTGGACGTGGCGCCACTGCCATCGCCAGCGCCATCTGATGACCACCCTCGCCTCTGCCGGTAGTCTTGCCGCGGTTCGTGGCTCTGGAAATGATCAGAGACATCTCGCGGAGTGACCAGGAACCGTCGCCTACGGGCGCACCTGCTGAAGGCCAGTTCCACAAGATTTACATCCACCGCTGCGAAAATGTCAGCATCCTGTTCGCAGACATCGTCGGCTTCACTGGTCAGTGTCCGGGGCATACCCCCCTGCGAGCGCCCACCACCGCGCTCCTGGTGGCATAAAAACTGGCTCCCCGTGAAGATGAATTACTCGCCCGTGCGACGCCTCAATACATACTGATTCGCCGAGGCCAGACGCTCCCAACAGGGGAGTTCCCCCAAGCGGAATACGTGATGTAGCAAAACCAGGTCTGAGTCTAGAAAGATGACCGTCCAGGCTGTGTAAGCAGGTAGATGGGGGCTAGAGTGCAATGGTTTCACATGCAATGATTAAAGGATGGTATCAGTGTCTGCATTAATATGGACCGTTGAAGCTTGAGCGAGATAACGATAGTGAAATTTTACATGGCTCGAATACAAGTGCTGTGTGGATCAGTTTCCGAGACCCAGAAGTCGTTTGCATGATTATATTCACACTGAGAGGCAAAAACACGCCTGGCTTAAGCTTTCATGATAGCAGCAATGATAATGTCATTTAGCCGCAGGCGGAATCATAGCTTGATCCATCATTAAGGGAAATGGATCCACGACGGTAACACTGAACTAAGATAATAAGCAATAGAGGTGAGGAGGCGATCGAGCATACAGTACAGAGATACTGGTTTATGCCGGAGGCTGTACTACACTGGATGGGCACTGACCACGTACGTTCGATATCTTCCTGCTCGCATCATTGCTTTCTTTTAACTCCCGCTTTGGGCCGCAGCCAAGGGGTTTTCCATTCTCTTGTTGTTTTTACGGTTCTTTCTTTTTTTATCCCGTTTACAAAGCACATGCTACGCCTGTTATTGGTATTTGACTTCCTGCTCTCTTCTATGGAGGGGGGGGGGGGGGAGAGAAGGGCAGGATACGCAACTTTGGTCGCACTAACACTGATTCTGAATTAATTCTGGCTTCTGACACGGCTTGCCTTCTGGTGTTGGACGGTCAAGCCGATACCAATCCCGGTGCGTCCACTTCTCATCCCGCTGATGACCAGTGACGGATATCGAAACCGACCCTGGCATTGCAGCCGCCATTTTTGACCCCGCCGCTGACTTCCGCTCGTCTCTGACGCACGGTAATGCTTCTGCTCGGCGAAAGTCTGCTCCCCTGACGACCCTTTTAACGACGCCGACCCTTTTAACGACGACCCTTTTAACCCACACTTTTAACTACGCCTCCGAACCCATTCTCGATTCTCTCAGCTCGTGCCTGGCGGTTCTACTCACATTCAACGAGATAGACAGCACTGACATTCTGAGGACCTTGTACGAACTTGTTGGATGGTTCCAATGAATTATATGTGTTGCTCGGCGGGGTCAATGTTAACAATCCAGTTTCAAATCGCGGCTCACACACGGGATTGACCACCGATATCGCATAATCGAAGACTTGATTGGCATGAGTTGGCCCTTGGTACAAAGGTGATATACGCATTTTTATTGTCGCACAACAAGTTCTCATCCATCGATCTTCCGTTTTGTCCGGCTCTGATCGGCACTTTGGTTGAACGGCTGACTCAGATAGCTATAGCGATTATCAATATCCGATCGGAACGCATACAAACTTTATCCTCACTAATGGCCCCGCTTCTAACTCGGTACCGCGGCGCAGCTCGTGGGAAGAAAACTGGTCACACGTGTCACGAAATAATGAGTCGTGGATCACGAGTATTTCGCACCCCCAGAACAGGAAAAGGAGACAAACCAGTGCCACAGTGGACTCAAGAAGTGGCGAAGTCCACTGCAAGCCCCTCCCCCCAAGAAAAAAACCTTCCCAACTTATGTTTGTAGTGAAGGCATTCATCACCTAATGGCAATAAATCAAGAGAGGGCAAAAGCTAAACTGACCATCAGAGAAGCCAAACGTAACACTTTCGAGCGATATTTTGTGACCACCCAGTTTTTACATCAAGCATCACTGAGACCTGATCTGCGTGATCTGCCATGATCTGCTGTTACGTCAGACACATGGCCATCCTTCGGCACAACTCTTGTCTCACTCCTCTCGTATCTTGAACCTTCCGTCGCTGTCTTTGTGCTTTGGTTTTTGGCCTATTCTGTGCCTGCCGTCACACTTCAACCAACACAGGACTGCTTTCTAATGTGCCCTTTCTCTGGCTGCCGTGTTCCGCCGAGCACACGGCAGCACGCAGCCGGTCCTCAGTGTAGTGCTCCGCCAAGCACACAGTAGCACGTAGCAAGTTCTCAGTGTGGTGCTCCGCCAAGCACACAGTAGCACGTAGCAAGTCCTCAGTGTAGTGCTCCGCCAAGCACACAGTAGCACGCAGCCAGTCCTCAGTGTAGTGCTCCGCCGAGCACACAGCAGCACGCAGCCAGTCATCAGTGTAACCGATTCTGACATGCCGCGTGCATTCCATCGCTGCCTCAGGCCTCAGTGGTCTGGCTTCCGTCCGGCGATGCGTCGCTCCTCACACTGTGAAGGATGGCACCAGCTGACCCGCGGTGTGGTCGGCGTCTGGCCCGCGGCGTGGTCCGTGTCTGACCCGCGGTGCTGTCCGTGTCTGACCCGCGGCGTGGTCCGTGTCCGGCCCGCGGCGTGATCCGTGTCTGGCTCGCGGTGCAGTCCGTGTCTGGCCTGTGGTGTGATTCGTGTCTGGCCTGCGGTGTGGTCCGTGTCTGGCCTGCGGTGTATTCCGTGTGTGGCCCGCGGTGTGGCCCGTGTCTGACCGGCTAGTAGTTCGCGTCTGACCGGCGGTGTAGTCCGTGTCTGACCCACGTGTCTGGCCCGCAGTGTAGTCCGTGTCTGACCGGCGGTGCAGTCCGTGTGTGAACCGCGGTGTGGTCAGTGTCTGACCCGCGATGTTGTCAGTGTCCGACCGGCGTTGCAGTCCGTGTCTGACCCGCGGTGTGGTCAGTGTCTGACCCGCGGGGTGGTCAGTGTCTGATCCGCGATGTGGTCAGTGTCCGACCGGCGTTGCAGTCCGTGTCTGGTCCGCAGTGTAGTCTGCATCTGACCCGCGTGTCTGGCTCGCGGTGTAGTCCGTGTTTGACCGGCGGTGCAGTCCGTGTCTGACCCGCGGTATGGTCAGTGTCTGATCCGCGGTGTGGTCAGTGTCTGACCGGCGGTACAGTCCGTGTGTGACCCGCGGTGTGGTCAGTGTCTTACCGGCGGTGCGGTCCATGTCTGACCCGCGGTGTAGTCAGTGTCTGACCCGTGGTGTGGTCAGTGTCTGACCCACAGTGTAGTCCGTGTCTGGCCCGCGGTGTGGTCCGTGTCTGGCCCGCGGTGTGGTCCGTGTCTGGCCCGCGGTGTGGTCCGTGTCTGGCCCGCGGTGTGTTGTGCGTCATGCCATCCCACGCTGTGCTTTACTGCGGTCCACGACTGGCCGATTGTGCCATTCATCACACTATGACACACAGCTGCGTTTCCGTCTGACCGATGTCTAACTTGCGCATCATCCGTCACTGGCGCAGTCGTCCGACGTTTGGCGTATGCGCTTCCCGCCACACCATGACACACACACGCAGCTGTGGCGCGATGTGGGCGGCGCCGGCGCTGGCGTGTCCGGCCGCCGCTGGCGCCGAGGGCGGCGGGACGTCTGTCATCCGCCACGAACCCGCGCCTGACCGCTGGTTAATCCGCCGCCTGACGTGTCGCCGGACGGCGGCGGTCCCGGGCCGCGGGCCCGGGTCATGCAACGGTGACGGCTTTGGCCTAATTAGGACCCGAGACCACGGAAGTCGAAGGGTCTTAGCACTCACGGAAATGCCGAAATGCGGCACCCAATGCCGAGCAAAAAAATGCCGAACGAAATGACGACACGCCGAATCACACGGAAAGCGACGAAACGACGCAGTCTGCGACGTTAGGTCGTTGTGGTTTTAAGCCATAGCTCGTCCCCAACACCCAGCGCAGTACCGCAACACACAGGTTGCGGTACTGTGCTGAGGGGTCAGGTCGTAGCCTGGGGTCTGCCGCATTTGCCTTGCGGATGTTTATCTAGGTCTAGATCGGATTTTTGTGATGTCCTTTGACAAAGAGTTATGTAGTGTATTGTTACATTCTTGCCGTTGAACATAAAACTCACCGAATTTCACGCCGAGCCCCATGCGGGGCATGCAGTGACACCTCTCACGAGGCACGCTGTAGCTCTGCACCGCGCCGCCAGTCTTTCAGTTCCGAAGTAGCTGGGACATGTTCAGTGACGAGTAAGCAGTCGCGCTCTCCGGAAGGCCGCTCCTCTGAAATGCATCGTCCAGAGAAGCGGCCATGCATCGTCTTGACGTCGAAGGGCGTGCCCGAGCTGTCGCCAGGGGGGGGGGGGGGAGGTGGTTCCAGCGGTGGTGCCTGCGGTGTCGCGCCTCACCCGCCGTGATCGCAGCTGGTCGCTCCCTCGACGCCGACGCTATGCCTCCTCCACAGCGCTGGCGTCCCTCTGCAGCGCCAACGAGCTCGTCAAGCTTCTCAACAGGCTGTACGCCCGCTTCGACCACATCGCCCACGTAAGAGGAGCGGACGCCGCGCGCGCCGCCGTACAGTGTCCGGCCTCACCGCGCCCCACGGCTCTTGATTGCCTACATCGCGTGATGGACACCCGTCGTTCTGGCAGTGGGGCATGAAAGGTCTCTGCGGCATCACGGTCAACGTGCCTTCAGGCCAAAATCGCGTTCATCAGCAGAGTGGCGTGTTTCCCCGTAATCCAGCCATACTGCAAACATCCAAGCTTATCGGCCACTGTGCGTGGGCTGTATCGCTTGTGGGTCACGCGTCTAACCAGGGCTGGCCATGATAGCTCGCCGGCCGCGTCTTTTGCCATCGCTCTAAGCTGCATTCTCTCCTATCAGCACTGCGCAATGTTATGCAATATATGAGTGTCCTAATACCTCCCCTGGTGGCTGGGTGATGTTAGAAGATCTCTCTTACCGAAGGGTTTCTTCAAGAGAGCTTATCGCCTCGGGAACGTCACCTGTGCGCTGTTCGTACCACTCACCACCAGTTGTAAGGCCCCCTATTTGGACACACTGCCCTGCCCATGAAAGTCACAAGCAGCCTGCCACCAGCCTAGCAGACTGTGCGCCTCGCCGTAGTAACCAGGCCTGCAGCTCTAACCAACTCTCAAGTGCTAAGCACTGGTGAATTTCCAACAGCACCAAGATAAATCACTGCCAGAAAATGACCAATATTATATATAATAATAAAAAGGATAAGTAATAAATCACAGTGGCGACAGTCAGTGAGAGGGTCACGCCAGTGACATGGGGTTAGTGCGAAGGTCAGCTGGCTCCCTGCAGCGGCCGTCTCCCTCGGTCGAGAGTGCGACGGCGCGCAGCGTCGGTGCCGACGACCCTCCCGCCGACGTCGACTGTGCGCCCGGCCGGCAGGACACAGACTGTCTGCGGATCAAGCTGCTGGGCGACTGCTACTACTGCGTGTGCGGCCTGCCCACGTCCCGGCCCGACCACGCCATCTGCTGCGTCGAGATGGCTCTGGGCATGCTGCAGGCGGTGCACAGCGTCCGCCAGACGCTGCAGGTGCGGCCACCACGGCGTGCTCGGCAGCCGGCCGCCTGACCAGCGGCGGAACCGGCCGGCGCTCAGTGCGCTCCCCCCCCCCCCCTCCCCCCGGCCTGCAGCGGAACCGGCCGGCGCTCAGTGCGCTCCCCCCGGCCTGCAGCGGAACCGGCCGGCGCTCAGTGCGCTCCCCGCCGGCCTGCGGTAGCGCGCGCACTCTTTTACGCGTCGTATGGGCGCGCCGATGATTTGAATGCTTCCTCCGATCCTTGCATGCTTCATTATCGGCAAGAGCTGTAAGTATGTCATGCCATGGTACCCCTTGAAACATTGGCATGGATAGCCATTAGTTTTTTGTGCACCCTCGCACAAAGAAATTTGTGTGGGGGGGGGAGAGCTGACAGGTCCCTCGAGGTATTTCTGGAATAATTTTTTGATCACCATTTAAGGGGGGCATGCTGAATTTGTCAATCGCTGACTTTATAACATTTTTTCTCATCCTGCCTTTTAAGCACATAAGGGCACACTTTTTCCAATGCCCCGAGCGAGCATGAAAAAAAAACAGCAAACGCATGCGTCCTTTGAATGAATTCACCTCCCAGCCCCACGTGCTGCATCAACCACGCAGTATGGAGATCATACACAGACGCACCCTTCGCTCCCAGAGAACGGTAATGGTCATTCAATGAGGCATGCTATGCTATTATTGCCTATCGCCTTTCCTGACGTAGCATTGTTTCACGGTGTGGTCATGGTCGGAAGAGGATTGGGTCGCCTTACACGTCATTTTAGCTCTAATACCGGAGCCGTTTTGCCGAAGTCATACGGACATTGGTTGTAATTGGGGTGAATGTTTATGCCGTTGTTGACATTTGCCCACCTGAACGTTCTCACATGTTTTTTACCCGCTGTGTGGCTCTGAATAGAACCCGTCGCACCCTCTTTTGTTAGACAGGGGAAGCTGATACACATTGACATTTCTTTCAAACCCATATCACTGCTGCTCTCCTGAACTTCCTGTATTTAAACAAAATGGTCTAAACCTGGGACAAAGGATTGCCAATGGATAAACTGGCGCAATTGGCTCATTGGTTTTGGACAAATGTTGTTAATCTGGCTAATCTTAAGTCCTACGATGTTAATCATGTGGCAGGGCTGGTCTTGACGGTTTGTTTACCACCGTTCTTCTGGCACTAATCGGGGTAAGGGTTGAGAGAGGGGTGGAAAGGAGCTCTCGTTAGCCGAATGATGGCTTAATAAGCGCGATGATGAAATGCACGAGAGAAACCTTGATATGTGGGGGTCCCGCTGGGGTATAGTCGCACCTTAAACTATGTGTGTGCCGTCCGCGGCGGCTGACACGTCTTTCGTGCTCAAACTACCCACGTGGAGAGGTGCCTCGTTTTAAGCGACTTCGCTTTTGCACCGATCTGCAATGAAATCGTCGGTGTGTGTATTTGTGTGAGGAAACAGATTTGTTCTTGTGACGCATAAATTGACCTCTGGTGCTTTATAGCGGATGCATAGCTAAATTAGCTAGTAACAGATATGTTGTTTGATAATCAGGCGATCTCAAACATGCATTTAACTAAAAAAGACGGCAGCAGCCGAGTTGGGCGCCTGGCCAGAAATCTGTCGAACAGGAGAGCAAAACCAGACTTGAGCTTATAAACATCAATGTCAGTGATCTGACAAACCAGTCCATCAATGTGGCGGCTGAGATGCATACATTTTCTCTTTCTCCCTTACCATCTAGTGCGTGAGAGTGCAGCGATATAACGCGCTGTAGGATGAAGCGATTCATGTGAGCAACCGAGACCGGCGAAACATTCGGCAACGTCGGTTTGAAGCGATTGTAACACATTTAAATGAGATTTAGAACTAAGATGTCATCTTGAAGATCATTCGGTCCAGTTCCAAGCTCTGCCCTTCTAAAGACCTAAACCCCCCTAGATTCTGAGCTAAACGGCCACGACGATGTGGAGACTTTTGGGGAGAGTTTTTCAAGGCCACCTTGGCATTCATGACATCACGATAACGTCATTCAAATCCTGTCATTCCATAAGCCGTGCGTTGGTCAAGGTAAGAATAAAATATAGTGGTCGCGTCATCAATATCTGGCGCTTGCGAGCACAATTTTCAGATATGACGGCCGTCAATTGGCTCTTAATGTTGTGCAAGGTACGATGACGTAAACAATTATGAAGTGTCGGGGAGCATATTTGCTAACAGAGAAATCGTGTTTCCTTTAGCGGTTTTGTTTACTTGAAAGTATGCCGCAGGTTCTAAGTGAGCTTGTTTCATCATACCCGATGCCTGCTTTAATATCTTCAAATGTGGAACATTTCCTTTCCCTTTACACGAGTCTCGCTATCTTTCCCGCTCATTTTGCGGTGCCACTTAAAAACTTCCTTTGTTTATCTGCAAGCGCAGCCTTTGGTTGTCGAGCTGGGTCGAGCCAGACTGAAATCTTTAAGGCCTGGTTGTGTAGTCGTTTCCCAAATGATAGACTCTGCTTCTGCGCTCGAGCCACGTTTGCCGGGCCCTTGCATGAGACCGGCATTGATCGCACGATGGTTGGCTCTGCTATTGAGGTCGGCCAATGAGCTCCTAACGCCGATCGTAATGCGGTGGAATAAGGGCCGCGCCCAGTCCGCCATTCGCCATCAAAACTCCTTTGTCTTTCGTATATCCCGCCCTCAATTTTATTGCCTAAACGAGATTGTCCTCGAAGTGGGCCATAAATAACGACAAAGTCCAAAATTGTCGTCCCATATAGAGCCCGCTAGGTTTTGATAGAAAGTCATATTTTGGAACCAGCATGTGGCTGATTAAAATATGGGTTTTCCAGATGCAACGGGTCAGAGGGGGGGTGGGGAGGGGGACCACACTCGATCAGAGTCGTTTTTGCACTGGCGACCTTCGCTGTGTCGACGCGGCACGTGCCTCCGTTCTGCACCATCGCTCCGTTGACCAAACACGTGTCTGTATTGCCCTGGTAATCGCGGCCCTCATGGTCCGGCACGTGACGTCATTGCCCCGATGATCTTTGTGCTGTCGACGCAACACGTGCCGCTCCGCTGACGCGTCACGTGTCGCCGCTCCCCTGATGGCCGTCCGTCCGGTGACACGTCGCGCCCCATTGCTGTCCTCCGTGCCGCAGGTGCACGTGGACATGCGCATCGGGGTCCACTCGGGCTCGGTGCTGTGCGGCGTGCTGGGCCTGCGCAAGTGGCAGTTCGACGTCTGGTCGGACGACGTCACGCTGGCCAATCAGATGGAAGCGGGCGGCGTGGCAGGCCGTGTGCACATCTCGCAGGCCACGCAGTCTTGGCTGGGTCACCTGTACGAGCTAGAGCCTGGACACGGCGCTGACAGGAACCAGCTCCTCAGGGTCAGTTGGCCGGCGCCAGCGAGATGCAGGAGAGCGAGCGGCCAGAGGAGCCCTTTAAGTGCACGCGCAACACGTTCAGTCTTGCGATCTCCGGGTCAATATCACGTGACAACCTTCAATACAGAGGAAAATCCATGACTCCATCAGCTTGGGCTTAACCTTGACCACACAGCGCTCGCGGCACCTCTTGCATCAGTGCTGTGCCGCAGCGCTGGCGCGGCCGCGTGCGGAGCAGCTGCTGACGCCTGTTCGCGGTGCGCGCAGGAGCGGGGCGTGGAGACGTACCTGATCGGGCGCACGGAGCCGCTGTTTCCCGGCCGGCGGCGCTCTCACCGCTCGTCCTCGGCGCCGCTGTGGTCTGAGGTGGCAGCCCCAGCCGCCGCCGCCCGGCCCGCCGCCGACGACGACTACTACGAGTGGATGCCCGAGATCCCGTTCGAAAACGTGAGCACCCGCCGGGTCTGGGCGCGTTGTGTCCGTTTCTCGAATAACTGACGTGCTTACGACCGACGATGCTGGGGGACAGAATCCGCAAGAGAGTTGTGAAGTTCAGCGAGTAGCCACGTTGCGTGACACTACTCGTACGTTGTTACCGTTGGTACGCCATCAGTTGTATTTTTCTGTACCTGTTGATTCGAGTGGTTTTCTGCCGACTATATATATATATATATATATATATATATATATATATATATATATATATATATATATATATATATATATATATATATATATATATATAGATGTATACATATATATATGCATATATATGTATGCATATGTGTATTTATGCATAGACTTTCAATTCATGATCCAATTCTCAACCTTTTGACCCATAAGTGTCTTGTTTCGGGAGATCAGCGATGTGGGCTAAGTAATGCATGATTCTATTGGACACCGAACTGAAGAGACCTGACAGAAATGCAGCCCTCGGACGATGGATATGTTCGTGGGATAATGGCTTTGTGTGGATACAATAACCTTTTACTTATCCGAGGGTTCATTCCCGTCCGGAAATTTAATAACCTTTAGTGGTAATTTTGTGTCTGTCATCCATTACAGGTCAATGTCTGCGAAGTGCAACAACCATGATTGCTAAATTGCAGAGAGAGAATTAGCTTCAATCAAAATTTTAAGCGAGCCATGTGAAGAGTTTACCGCATTTGTGTTCCCGTACTGACAATGAAAGTTCGTCCTGCTCCTGTCCCCACATCTGTGCATTCACTTGACTCATCATGGAGCCTTGACGGCGGCAAGTTTGTCGCTGTCTTCCTTACTGCTAGTCACCCATTTGACAACCATCGTAAGCGTGACGATATACCCCGGCCCAGCTGCGATGATGTGACCTTATGTTGCTGGTCATGCCGGGCGCGGCTCTTGCGGCCAGGTGTCGATGGGTGCCGGCCGGCCGTGGGTGGACGGCCTGGCGCCGGGGCCGGCGGCCTCCTACGCGGAAGAGGAGCGCACCGAGCCCGGACACTCCGGCGCCGGTTCTGGGCAGCAGGACGATCTAGAGAGCTTCCTCTCCAGCAGCGCCGAGGCGGAGAACCACCTGCAGCACCGGCGTCTGCAGATGAAGCCCTGCACGCTGCGCTTCAGGGACGAGTGTGACGAGTGCGAGGTATGGTACCGCGTCGCACCGCGCCGCTGTATGCCGGCAATGACGGTGCCCAACACGCCACGGCTTGGCGCTGGCCGTTCCGAAGATAAACACTAAACATAGAGCTAACAGCGATGGTAACGTTTTGGAGACTCTCAGGATGCTTGCCCACACCGGGCCTACTTGATATAGAAAGCATCATCAGCAAAAATAACTGTATCTCAGAGGCACGTCCACGAACGACAAGAGAGGGAAGAGACTACTGAAATGGACGGAGACCGTGGCTGCCAACAGCGGACCGGCAGTCGACAGCAGCCGCGTCAGTGGGCACGCTCAGTCACGTGACACTGCGCCCCCTCCCTTTAAAATTTTTTCACATTTCACACCTTTTTCACATATGCCCCAGCATGCTAACAACTTACCGCAACTTGTGTAGAGTGGATATCAGCATTGTGGTCGAGAGTTCATAATGTGTGGCTCACTCAGCCTCTCTTTTCCTTCTCTGGCAGGGAAGTGAATCATCTACTCCTGCGACAATACTTTGGGCATACACTCTTTCCTCTGCTGTCGTAGCAGCCCGCCGTCTCATTTTCCTCGCACGGAAATTTTCCGTCTCATTTTCCTGAACAAAATCCTGTTTGATGATGAGCTGTCCTCCTTCATTTTGGCTTCTGAACACGTTCATACATGTATGGTTCTGAGATATTACTCTGCAATACTAATTTTCCAATGGTAAGTTACCGATCAACGTCGACTGCGTCGAAATCAGCTCAATAACGTGTCAACTTTTGCGTTTCAAAAATGCCCTAATAATGCTTGTTTTTACCCTCCGGTTGACTGGCCCTATGAAAATGTTTGGAACTTTATTTATGAGATCAGAGCTGTTATGCTGAGCTATCGACCTTCGGTATGCCTGGAGGTTCCCGTTAAGCGATGTTATAGAGCAAACATTGGTAGTATTGACAGCATTGGCAGAGACCTCATGATCAATATCTTTGAGCAGGTGATCACTCGTGATCATATGCACAGCTTGGAACGTCGAGTACCACCAAATTAACCAATGCTTGCTCAATGACGTCATTTAACCAGTACCCCTGGTATTCTGAAGGTCGAAAACCAGGCATAAGACTCTGAACTCATAATGCAGAAAAAACACGAGCCGAGGGTTTTGGCTTATATGGATATTATATTTCCTAGGAATGCAGGCATATCTCTGAGAAATGGAACGCGGTTTGGTTTTCGATAATCAACCGAGTAGTTTTCGAGATATCGAGGGGAGGTTGGGGTAAGTAACCCCACTCACTTAACATATTCAGCTTTTACATCATTAGAAACAGAGAATTGGAGTGACAGTCCGCTGCCCTGCTGTCACTTGGCCTCATTTCAAGGTCGTCTGAATGTATTCCTAATGTCTTCTTTGTGGTCCATGTAAATGGGCTGACATTGTTTAGAGGAACCGATCAGATGTTTCGGTCAGGGCTTCCAGGCTCCCAAGCTACATGTGAAGCACGTTTAGATGGCTGCGCAGCATGGCTATGTAACCGCGCATACCACCATGAATACATGTGTTGTTTCTCTCTCATTGCAGTACCAGAACACAAAGGGAGATCTCTTCAAATCCAGTATCACGTGCGCATGTGTATTGTGGATATTCATAGTGACCACCCAGTTCACATTGCAAGTCACGTGAGTAAAAACCTTTTTTTGCATCAATGGAGTAGTTTGAATGTCGATCGCTGTACTCAGATAGGACGTTCATGGGCACTTGAGCTAAGCTCATGTTTGTCAATGGCAGTGCGAGATTTCTTGATCTAATGGCGCGATGCTTGGAAAACCTGCCAATAGTGTAGTTGTTTCTGTAAACGATATGTTGTACCGTCCGTTGAATATAAACCACATTTGCAATTAGTGTTTGATGTGTGCACTGCTTGCTACAAGTCATCGTTCGTCTTTTTCTTTTTCATCATGCTGTAGTTACACTTGAGCATATTAAGCTATTTCGATTTTATGCACGGCAGATATATTCCTGTCTTTTATGAGAACATTGTTGCCAGTTGGTTTTGGTATAATCACAGGCAGATGTAAATTACTGATGCTTCGAATTATCATGTATCAGCGATGCATATCTGTTCTCCTCAACATTACCCGACATAAGCTTGACACAGCTGTCTCGGTCTGTTCCAGGTTATATCAGTCGGTGTCCGCCGCGATCGCGTTCGTTATTCTAGCCACAATCCTCCTGTTGGCGCTGGGGGAGGAGATGACGGGCAAGCAGTCCATCATATATAAGGTAACAAGCAACAGCCTGCTGAGCCAGTATTCCTTGGAATACGAAGGGGCGTCAGCGGCGTGCGTAATGCGCAACAAACGCAGATGTTTGGCCCGCGAAGATTTGGGTCAAATTGCGTTTTAAGGGGAGTGTTCCACATTTGAATGGGATTTTGAAATGGAATAGCCATCGTGAAGGTCATATGGTGCAGTTCGCAGCCCGGTCCTTCTTAAGACCCTAAACCCCCTCTAGTTCTGAGCTATACATCCGCAAAGATTAGGAGACCATTTCTGTGGGAGTGTTTCAAGGTCAGCTTGGCATTCATGACGTCATGATAACGCCATTCAAATCTTGCCATTCCATAAACCATGCGGCTATCAAGGTAAATAAAAATATGATGGTCGAGTCGTTTGAACCTATTTCCAGATAGAACGGCCGTCAATTGGCTCTCAGTCAAGGTTGTGCAAGGCGCAGTGACGTAATCAGACCATGGCGTATCGAGCAGCATATTTACTAAGCGGAGAAATCGTTTGGTTTTTAGCAGTCTTTTTTACTTAAAAATATACCTATAGTTATAAGTGAGCTTGTTTCACCATGTCTGATGATTGCTTTAATATCCTCAAATGTGAAACGTTTCCTTTAAAAAAGCCAGCTCGCTTGGCGCCAGCTGGGCCGGGTGTGCTGAGCTAGCGTTGCGAACACCATTGCTCTGCCCAGTGCCTGTTTATTCAGAGGGGAAGTCGGTGCGACCCGAGGGCTTTGGTGATCCAGATATTTATGTCGTATTGTCGATGAAACGGCACAAAATGGATCGGCGACATAATGGCCAGCCACACGTCAACACACGAGCACACTTTATCGACGATGACAGGAGACATCCGGATCGATATCAATTGAGGCTGTTATAACTTGCCCTTCCTCAGGTCTGTCAGCACTGGGTTTTGGTCGTGTACGATCCCAACGCTCCCCACCGACATCATGGATGAGATGGTCGGTGGCTCGTGCGCATCAGAAAGTCTCCTGGCCCGTTTCAGGTATCGCGCCGAATCAATCTGGAGCGACGGTACCGGCTGCTGCTCACATGCCTCTGCATATACACCATCGCCGCTTCAGCCGTGTTCGCCGTGGTGAGCGCAGAACTGCACTCTCTGTGACTCCGTATGGACTAGGACTTGACTAACTTGACTTGACTTGCAGTCTGCTTGGCTTGCCAGACCTTGTTGTGGCTGCAGATCTTGTAAGTGACGCCACAAGCGTAGCAGTTCCCTTCTGAAACCTCAGCCCAACGTGAGAAAAGCAGATGTGCATTCATACGAAGGCGCTCACCGTTGTGTTTCGAGAGAACATTGCTGTGATTGGCGTCTCTGCACGCAGCGTCTCAGCAACCCACCAATTACGTTCATACGCATCAGGTGTGCTCCATCGCACGTAAACATTGTATAAAAACGTAATCGCCTGAGGCCTCCGCCCGTCCTGAAAGGGACTTCGATTTTCCAGAAACCTCGGTGTTCAGCTATCTAGGTCCTAATTCTGATTGTCCTGGAGATGTCGTTATTTCGAAAAAGCTGGAGATCCCTTCTCCGCCCGCAATGTTTACTAGGACGACCTGTTACCGGATCCCAGTCCAGACAAGTTCCCATGTCTTCCATTTGGGTGTCTTGTCTTGTCGGCATAGCATTTCATCAGAATAGTGCGATCAATGCATGCGCATCATATTGGTACGCGCCCACGTGTGCCGGCAGGGCAGCATGCGCGTTCATCTTCTTTTCATGGCAGGGGTGATCTGTCTTTTCAGATTAACGGAGGCTTTTAGATGGACCCCAGGTACTATTCAGCGTGTTGCGACACAGCGCCTTATGGCTCCTTTACATGACCTTTTTTAGCGTGGAACGCGCGTGCGTGGGTACAGGTCATTGACCCGCGTCGGAAGTGCGTCTAACGCGCCTTTGTCGACGTCATACTTGTACTGAACGCGTCATATTTGTCGACGACAATCGCCCTTTCACACGGGATGGCACTTCTAATCCAGCCGTTCACCCTGAGCATCCATCCAGGGAGGAGCTAGGGGAAGTGAGCACATGCTGCGTTGAAATATTACGCATTTATAAAACCTATTTTGTCATATTTCAAGACATCATCATTGGTTTATAGGCAGAGTTTTTTGTGTGCCTTTAAGACATTGCTACTTGAGCGGATATTTAGACCTTGCTCTAAAATGCGATGAGCAAGTCGTCTTGACCTTAAATTTCAGCATCCCCGGCTACGTATTACCGTTCTCTATTCCTTGTATTGTTAACGCGCTACAATTGCCTTGCAATGTATATGAAGCTCTGGGGCAGCTTTTCTGCTCTCGACCCGTGTCAGGGCTAGGTGTTAGTGCTTCTGCCAGGCCAAATATATGGAAGACCGAACACGGTGCTAAACATTACGCACTTTCTCATGATGCTGTCGGGCTTAGACGAACGTCGGACGCGCGCAAAACAGCCTCCGTGTAAATAAGCCATCATCTATATGCAGTGTTCACCTGTCCTGCCCAGTGAAAATCATCTTTAGGACTTCAATCCTTCTGTTGCTTACAAATTTGATCAGTGGCGTTATTTCTCGATACATTTCCTTCCCGTTCTTTTGTTGCATGCGGCTCGCAGGAGATATGCGCATGAGGCATGAGGAAAAGTCCGCCAAATCCGGCGTAGCGATGTGCAGCATTTGCTCAAACGATGCGGATTCGCCGTAATCTTTCCCCGCCGCGTCGCGGACAATTTTCTCGTCTCCTGGATAGAAGCGGCAAGGCTCGTGATCTATCCTCGGATTGGCCGCTCGGAAACATGTGGCATATGGAGCGGAGCCGTGTCGTTCCTGCCCGTTTCGTCAGATACGTGAGCTGACGCCAGCACCGCATATTGTGCGCCTTGTGCGCCAATGACGCCCATTTATGTCTGGGAGCACATCGGCTGCTGGGGCCATTCCAGCCCTCTTGTGTCGATCGCTGTAATGCGTTTACGGCCGGGTCGGCGCCGAGCAAGACGCTGACTGGACGAGCGTTGGCGTGAAGAGGCCCGGACGCACGGCCTGGGCCTTCAACGAGATGGGCCGTTACGAAACATCTCCTTTGCCTCGGCAGCCGAGTTCTGGACGTTGAACAAGAACTGACAAATTTCGGACTCTACGCCGTACCAGGAGCTGTTCTCTTGGGCTCTTGGATTTCATGAAACCCCAAAACAGGTCGGGCGATGATTTGGATATAGCTTAATTTACGTGTCCGTGTCCAAAGTTTTAAGCAAGAGTGCCTGATTTAAAGGTATCTAAAAACAAGCCGGGGATGATTTTAATTTAAAAACAAGTCGGGTGATGATTTTAGAATGTTCAAATTTCGTGCCCGTGCCTAATCCCTGAAGCAAGACTATCTAGAGGATGAATTAAGAATGCGCGATGCAAATTGCCTAATGCTGCAATCGTCTCCAATCTCTCAGGATAGACTAGCACACAGCCCGTTCTGTACCTAATGTGGTGTCCAGAGAGCAGGGCTCCTGATCTTCAGGCGGGACGAATGCTTGGTTTACGGCCGTATCCCGCGGGGAATGGGAGAAATCTAGCGGGCTTTCAGTAATGTGTGGGTGTACGTGCTGCCCGCAGTTGGCTGACATCAGCGGATTGGCTTGCCAGATGGTTCATTCGGGAACATTCGCAATGTTTTTTTGTGGCTAACACTGCGGCCGTCGACACCCACACAGTATTTGCTGACGCATGACAGATGGGCCGTCCAGCTGATACATACTTTAGAGAAAAGCTCGAGATATGATGGGCGGCACTTCTAGATGGATATTGACGTATAAATAGCTCAGTTCATCCAGTGCACGTGCGGACGGCTGAGGTGTGGGAAGGGAGAAGTTGCGTAGCTGTTTTTTTTTCTCTCGGCGTTTTTTGCTGCGCGTCGGGCGAACCGCGTACCAGGTGATGTCCTGGAACAGTTCGAGATGTAAAACATACCCGAGGATGATCAAACTGAGACCGCCTTTGGTGTCATATTTCACCAAAGACGGTCTGCTAGTCGAAATGTAAGCCAATCATAAGTACGAGCGTCTACTTAAGCATCTGAAATGTTCAGTTGCTAAGAAAATTGGAAAGAAGAGAAGATATAAACTATCACTCCTCGTTCACACAACATGAAACAAAAATAAGCTGTAGGCTGAAAATTCAAATATGCCATACAAATTTACTGGGCTGGCGCTTTTTTAAGTATACGCAGCGTGAAAGTTAGTGTTACAAAGAATATTTCGCGACAGTAAAGATCTCTAGGGTCCTAACAACCTCCATATATCTGGAGACATATACTCACAAGAATCCTCAGAAGTTTCTAGGACGAGAAAAGCACTAGAAGATATCTAACTCTCCTGAGATCACTCACCACATGCCGTTTGCTCCGTTGGAACCTGAACTACGCATCTCATCCGTAATGTGATTTGACACTTCCTTCAAAAAGTCACCCTCAAGGCCTCGCCAGCCAGAGGGTTCTGGGATAGCAAGGTGATTCCACACTCTGTGATGAGTTTAGCCGGCCATCGAACAATGTCGTGCCCGCTTCCCGTTGGCTAATAATGACATCAGTTATGTAACATGTGACTACGACTCGTTTCCGTTGGGGGTAGTATGTAAGGTGTGCCGTTGGTTGCCATGCATGCCCACTCGTTCTCCTCACCTGAAGAAGCAAGGCTGCTGTTGGTTTTGCATGTAGACTGTGGTGTGGGGTGAGTGTTAATGAGTGAATTACTGGTAAAAAGAGGATTTAGTCTGACAAGACTTATCTTTGGATGACTCGTGGGAGGGACTGGTACGAGCGTGGTCGTTAATAGCCTATCATGCAAGCAGTTTGAAATCTGCTACAGTGAGTCCTACTTTAACAGCAAATTGCGAGGGTCGGAGGGGGTCGAGGCCGATATCTTCATTTTAAGGCCATTACTAAATACTTACAGTATTAACGGATAATACTGACTTGCTCAAAAGCACTCACTCTGCGATGAATACAAAAACTGTGGTGCACTTAGTTTGCTGACATTCCCATTCTCCGAAGCGGCGGATTGGAATGAGACGAAACGTGCTCCCCTGCTCAGGCACTGCTTGGCTTACTTCTCCCAAGACTTCACCAAAAACTTGCTTTATGCGATTATTTATCTAAACCACCTGGTGACAAAGGGTCAAGTGACAGGTCACGAAATGATCAAAGCATATGCCGTGCTTTTGTGATCGGGTGACCCAAAACTGCCCCACCGATAACCCTGAACTTTTACCATTCGGTTCTAGGCATGTAATTTCTCCTGGCCTCAAGCGAACGGTGAATGTTGAACAGCTCAGGAATACAGTGACCTAGGCAATGCGCACGTCAGGAACTGGCTTGACGGCGTAGTGAAGTTCACGGACAATTCCATGCTCGGCAACGATTCAGACGATGTTCTTCTAACCCTCACCAATTGATTCAGGGTACACAATTTACCGCTGACTATTCAATTTGGTGACCTTGGGTCAGATCAGAGTTCAGCACATTGTTCAAACATGAAATTGCAATTTGTGCACAACTCATGCTCAGAAACTATCCAACCAAATCTTACGGAATATTCATTTTTCGACCCAGGATGTGTGAATTATCGGCGCTTTATGATTTGATGACCTTTGGTATGGTCACAGTGCATCAAATTACCAAGATACAATAACTGTTTTTGTAAACAATCCCGTGCTCGGAAACATGTGGACGATTTTCTTCACGTCTTCATCAGTAGATTTGCAGATTGTGATTTACTCGTGATCTCTTGACTTATTGACCTTAGACCTAATCCCTTATCATGGCATTGCTGAGACACGTTTTTACGGTCGTGGGAAATCGCATGCTCGTGCTGTTCAAAAGGTATGTCATATTCAAGAAAACTACCATCGTAGGCGGACACAGGGTTTCTAGCATAGGTAAAACATGACTGCACCAATATGACTTTAACTCTCAAGAGCCCCTCATGGGCACCGTCACCACCGTTGTCACTTTGCGCTAACGTGCTCCCATAGTGAGTGACAAGAGTGCACCGGCGTCACCCTTCCTCTGACGCCTTTATTACGTCGCGGTAGCGTCAGCGACAGCGGGGGGGGGGGGGGAGGGACAGGGCGGCGCAGGCGCATCTGGAAAGAATCCAACCCTCACGAGACCTCTAATGGAGCATTGTTGTTGCTGATAGCATAATAAGCGAGACGCACGGATTACAGATATTAGATGTTCCAGTTATGCAGCATAAGAGCCTCTCGTAGGAGGAGGAAAGAAGCGAAAGCGAAAGAGGTTCCTGTAGCGGAAGAAGCTCCGCGTAGCTTGACGGCCTTCTCGGGATGAAAGAACCTCTTTGCAGGGGGCAAGCTTTCTCGTATCGTGAGAATCCTTCGTAGCGGAAAGGTCTTCTCGTAGAATAGGAACACCATCATAACGTGAGGACTTCTTGCAATAGGAAGCGCCCTTGCAGCGTGGAAGTATTCTTGCAGCGGTGAACCTCCCTCTAGCGTGGCCCGCAATTCTCGCCGACAAATTATATCACGCGACGGATCGAACTTCCTCCGTTCGTGTGTGATCAAACAGTTAGAGAGATGCGCATCAAATTACTCAGGAGTTAAAAAAGCTTCGTCTACGGAATCACCGTCTCCTTTCTCCAGACGCTCTGTGATTTGACTTCGCCCCCTTTTCCCAATCGACATGTGAGGCGACCCTGTCCCCGTCTGCTGTCTCTAAATATCTTACGAGACGGTCCTGTCTGTTTTCCGCAGACCTCAGGTGACATCAGGTGAACGTTCTCACCTGAGGTGAACGTTCTCCTGTTTTCCTGTTCTCCCGTCGGCAGCTACGTGGTCACGTGACCCTTTCCCCTGCAGCAATATGTTATGTGAGGTGATGTGAAGTATCGGTGTCGGTGTAGTGTAATCCCGTCTTGCCGCCGCCAGATGTCGTGCGACCCCGTGTGGCCACCGCCAGATGTCGTATGATCACGTCTGGACGCCGCCAGATGTATTGTGACCCTGTGTGGCCGCCGCAGATGTCGTATAACCACGTCTGGCCGCCGCAGATGTCGTGTTAGCACGTCCGGCCGCCACAGATGTGTAATCACTTCTGGCCGCCGCCAGATGTCGTGTGATCCCGTGTGGCCGCCGCAGATGTGTAATCACTTCTGGCCGCCGCCAGATGTCGTATGATCCCGTGTGGCCGCCGCAGATGTCGTGCGACCACGTCTGGCCGCCGCCAGATGCCGTGTAACCCCGTCTGGCCGTCGCCAGATGTCGTGTGAGGTGAGCTGCGCCGGCCCGGCCCCGGCCACACTCGTCAGCGGCGTGTTCCGGCCGGCGCGGGCCGCCTCCCTCCGGCTCAACCTGTCGGCGGTGGGCGCGGCCGCCTGCGCCCGCGACGCCACGGCACGCTCCGCCGCGCTCTGCGCCGGCCCGGCCGACGCCGACACGGCCAACTTCATCAGCCAGCACTTCCTCTCGTACTGCCTGTGTACGTGCCGCGCCTGTGAAAGTGGCGACGGGCAGACCGACAGCACGTGTCGCACGTACGACCTGCGCACGACGTGCCCCGAGCCGGAGTACTACGTGCACACGTGGCTGCTGGCGATGGTGGCGCTCGGCGGGTTCCTGCGGCTCGACTTCGAGGTGAAGACGGTCATGGCGCTGGGGCTGGTGCTGCTGTACGTGCTGATGATGCTCGGTGCCTTCGTCAACGTCTTCCTCATCGCCGAGCTGTAAGTGAACTTCACTTTTTCTGTGGGGATGGATGTTTGTGAGAGCGGGATGTGCGGGGTCGGCCGAAAGTCGCCTGGGTCCTCAGGCAAATAAGAATTGCTGTGTGTCGCTGCTGGGGTCCAGTCGGGCTATACGCGAAGATATTAGATTCGGAGCGTACGAACATGGTCGTGATCTGGTATGATGGAGCCATTTTAGTCTGGAAAGGCTGCATCATGAATTTAGGAGCGGCTGGTCCCAAGTTAAAAAGGACCAAGTATAGGCTGGGAAACGGAGAACTTTGGGCTCACAAAGGCCTATCTCACTTCTTGGGCCTGGGAAGGGCCCATCGCTGCTGTGGAGTGGGCCATCGTAGGCTCAGAAAGCCGTCGGCGGTGTACTCGTGGGGCAAACTGTTCCAAATGTATGAGGTTATGGCGAGAGCTACCTTCCCCTCCCCTCCCCCCTCCATATTTCAGGTGGCCCAAATGAGGCCCCTGGCGGATTTTTGGAAGAGATTAGCTTATTGTGTGCCATCCAGGCAAGTGCAGAAAGTCCATCTCAGGGTCCGGACAGGATCAATTTCAAGTCAGGAAACCCTTATAAAAGTTTCGGGCAGGAGAGGGGCCCTTTTCCGGTCTGCAAAGGGCCCATTATAGATTCAAAGGGGCCGTCTCGGCTCAGGACAGTCATCGCAAACTCGAAAGGGTCTGCCTCAGATCTGGGTGGGGCCCATCATGAGCACAGAAAGGTCCCTCTAAGGTCTGTAAAGGGTCTGGCGTAGAGTCAAGGAAGCCCCCCTGAAATCATGCAATGACACGTTTTAGGCTAAGAAAATGAGCACCTCAGGTCTGGAAGGGCCCATCTTAACACTTAAGCACGGAGAGAGCCATCTGACATCCCACAAGCTCCATGTTATACCAGGGGAGAGGCCAAAGTTTTGGTAAGAATGGTTGGGGGCGGCACACACTTTGGTTAAGGGCCCCCGGATGAAAAGGGCACCAGGAAAAATAGCCAAATTTTGCCCATTTTATTTCAAGTGGTCCACATTTCTTCATTTGTCGTCACCACGCCGACGAATGCATTCAGTAAGGGGCCTAGTGGATTAAACACTAAGGAAACCCCTTACCTTTTACGGTCAGGAGGCCCGTAAGTAAAACACGAGGGATCCCATTGCTTTTCCCGGTCAGGGGTTTAAGGGATCTCCGTTCCAGCCCGCCACCTGGGGTGCTTGGCCGGGTACTATTCTGGAGACACGGCAGCCGGGCCCCCTGGTCGATCAGGAAGGCCGCAGAGGGGTGCAACACGCATCTTGGAAATGAGCTGTAGGCCTCAACGTGACAGACTGTTCGAAAATCGTGATCCCGGGTAAACTGGCAGGCCCTTATTGTCCCCAGGGGTTTGAAATCGGTGCAAGAGGCCCTCGGATGGACATGTGTGGGTTGGAATCCTTTGGTGCAGCCTCTGACTAACTCTTCGGCCCTCTCGTCGTGTCCCCTTGTCGGGCCTCCGATCGTCAGTCCCGAAGAGCCCTAAGCGCCCGTCTGGACCAAAGGGGAGATATGAGTGACACCAGCGCCCCTCCATCCGTCCTGTGCACCGACTTCAGCTTATGATGGACCCGTCTCAGGTTGAAAAGAACCCATTTCCAGATAAGAAACGCCCGTGCAAGTGTAGACCTGGAAATAGTTAACCTCCAACGATGAAAAGCCCATCATAGGCCCAGAAAGCGCCCGTTTTCGGTTAGGGAACGGCGCATGGTAGGTTCTTAAAGGGCCCTGTCAGGCCTGGAAAGGACCATAGGGGACTCAAAAGGACTTTTTTAATCAGGGGACCATACATTTTAGGCTGATGGAATTATCATCGCATGCGCCGAAAAGGCATCTCTCATTTTTTAGGCCCAGGAAGGGCCCACGTCTGGTTAAACCGGGAAATGGTGCACATTAGGTCTGGAAATTGTCATTTTTTACGTCCAGAAAAGGCACAGGTCAAGTCCCGAAGGATTATGTTTCGCTCTTAGACCCGAGAATATTCTCTCCCGAGCCTGCGAAGACCTAGAAGCGAATAATCTCATTTTAGGCCGTGTGAAGATGAGATGGACCCCATCTTGGGCCTGAATGAGCTTTCCCTAATCGGGAGAGACCCAACGATAGCACACCCAACTGCAGAACACCTCGGTAGCATAGCCGGAGTTTTTCTGCCACCAAAATTTGGATGATTTGGCAGCATTTGGAAGCTCTGGAATCGACTTCCTGCTTTTGCTTCTGAAGCAGTAGCGCGTTCCGGAGGGGGGTATAGGGAACGCGTTCCCCTTAAGTTCCGAGGGGCCCTCGGGCCCTTCAGGACCTACGATTAAGGACCCGATTTGAGTGCCCGAAGGGTCCAAAAGTAAGGACAAAGCCGGAGCCAGAGATTTACATTGGTCGGGGCCCCACGGCACCCAACGAAAGCCCTGTGCTGGCAAAGGGCCCCGAGTTGGCCAGAGACAGTGTTCGAGGAGGCCCGTAGAGCCTGCCTGGAGGACCCATCGGATCCGACGATCGAGGGCTCGATTGGAGGGTTTAAGAACATTTGGAGCAGTTTAAGGGCTAGTCGGAGTCTTATTCAGGGGCCACGCCCTGCGGGGACGGACTCTCAAATGACAGTCAGGGGACCCTTTACACCGATCAGGGACACCCTGAGTCGATATGGGTCTGCCTGTTCGTCAGGCACCACCAGCGCCACACAGTCCGCTCGGCACGAGACTGGGGGCCCATTCCCAAGAAGCTACAAAGTGAGGCCAGTGTCGTACACTGGTCGGTGCCCCTATATTTGGCTCGAGCCCACAGCGCCTAACAGGTCCTGTGCTCACGAGCGGCCCCGAGGCAACCAAAGGCCGTATTTGATGAGGTCCGAAGAGGGACCTGAGTGGCCCAACGAACAGACTATCAAAGGCCCGGTTGGAGGGCATAAGGGCCCGAAGGACTGGCTGTGGGTCACATAAATAATTTCGCGGCCTGGAGGGTCGTGACCTGAAATATCAGAGGTCCTCTAGCGCCGCTTGCCTAAGACAATGCGGGTATCTAACTCGGCTAGAGACCACGAATACCAAACTGCTGGCCCCCTGTCAGTCTGAACCCTTTGGGCCTATATTCCAAATAGGAGCAAGACCGGGGACCGTGATTTGCATTTACCTGATTCCTGAAACAGAGGTTGGGGCCTGTTTGTCGGTCAGGGGCCCACAGTGCATAGCAGGGAGTCATGTCTCGGCGAGTGGCCCCTAGTCGCTCACGGACTTTGAGGAGGTCCGAAGAGGGACCGAGGGCCCCTGGGACTAAAGATCAAAGGCCCGATTGAACTCGGAACCGGCCCCCACCCATCGTGCCATGACCTGACATGTCAATCAGGGGGATTCAATAAGGTCCCTCTTAGGGTTTTCTACTCCTGCTTTAAAGGGCCTCGACACGAAGCCAAACAGTCGGCTCCATGTCAGCCTAAGTCTTTGAGACCTAGCTCCCCAGCAGAAACGAGGTCGGGGTCCACAATTTGCAACGTTCGGGGTCCCTGACACAATGAGGGGCTCCCATGCCGGTCAATGGTCACAGTGTCTAACAGGGGTCGTCTGGCGCCAGGTGGTCCGAGTCGGCCAGGAGCGGTATTTGAGGGGGCCGAAAAGGGCCAAAACGTCTCTTGAGACCAAAGCTCAAGGGCCCGATCGGAAGGCTAAACGGCCCAAAGGGCTGACTGTATGCCACATTAAGCGTTCCCACCCGTAGGGCTGCGATCTCAAATGTCCAGAGAGCCTTTTGCACCGATTGGGGCTCCTGAGAGAGTGCATTTCTCTGTTCTCTGTTCTCTCTGTTTCTCTGCCAGAAATCCATAACACCGAACAGTCGGCTCCACGTCGGTCTATGTCTCGAGGATCCATTTCCCAACAAAAACATGACCGGGCCCACGACTTACATTGCCCGCGACCCTTGCAGCAATGCGGGGCTGCTGTATCGTTCAGAGGTCCACAGTGCCGAACAAGGTATTCTGTGTCAACAGGGCCCCTCAAGTCGGCCGTAGAGATATGTGCTCGACGGAGACGAGGACCGAATAATGGAGGATTCGTGGGTTGGTCGGGGTTCTCTGACGGTGAAAGGAAACATGACAGATCAAGATGACTGTTCCTATTGAACAAATGGAATCGTCCTGTGTCAGTCAGGATCCCTATTACCGAAAAGTGGACCCTCCAACCCAACTCTAGCTCGGGCCCGTTAAGCCGAACTGGGTTCATGTGACAATTGTTGGATCACCTGTGGGGATCAGGAATGCTGTTGCGTCAATGAGGGTTCTTGCGTCGAATCGAGGTTGACTGCGATGTGCGCGTGTCAGAAGGCCGCCGCGTCATGGAGGGGACCAATGTGATATGCTGTGTCCCTCCAAGGGCCTCTGGATCGGCCAGAGAACGCCGCCCCCAGTGCCACCAGAATAGCATTCGGAAGGCACTCCACGGTGGGATGGAGTAGCCCTGCAGCCCTTGACCGGAAACAATAATGCACCGCCTAATGTTGTTCTCAAGCGGGGCCGTTCCCGGAAATAAGGTGCTTCATGAATGTTGAGAGGAGTGGGTCGAAATGAGCTCAGAAACGAACGAGGCCATCCCATGTCTTCCTGAGAACGTTTATTCTTTTGCAGAATCGACTAGTGAAACAAATTACATCAAAAGGTTTGAGCCTGCGCGCCCGCAATCTCGGTAGCAAGGAGAGCGGTAGCCTGGGTTGCAGTTTTCGTAAACCCCAGCGGCGTTGGCCACTGCAAGTAACACCAAGCGGCGGGTGTCGTCCGCGCCAAAGATACCGCCGTGGAATGAATCTTCTGAATGTCTTAAAAAATAATTCCTGCGTTTTAATGATAAGGCTTGTCTTCTTTTTACAATTTTGAGATTGTCCTCTGGCCAGATTATTAGCTACAGCAACGCGAAGAAGAGAAATTGTTTCTTTACTCCTTAAGTTCTATCACCAAATTCCAGCATTAATTCGTTAAGGTGTAAAGACTA